GATTGGCCAGAGTCAGAGAGGAAGTCTATTAAAAAAGGAACTGGTGTTGCCTCGGAAGTGGGGGGTAGTCTTATATAACCTATATTTTAACCATAAAATTAGGGGGTCGTCTTATATGCCAGAAAATACAGTACACACTTCTCTGAAAACTCAGGTTTTGGGGAATTCTCAGTAGCATCCTCCAGATTTTCCAGTACTATGTTAATGAAAACTACCTGTGATGTAAGTTGCTTGTTACATAACAACTGTGATATTGCAGAGATAGGCTTCTGAGAAAAGATTACATGAGTGTTAAAAAATTTGTGATTAATATATAGATTTTGTTTTCTATAGTCACTGGCATGAGATTATATGTAATGAAAAATGTTTTTTATTGATTTTAGAGAGGAAGGGAGGAGAGGCAGAAACATCAATGATGAAAGGGAATCATTGATTGGCTGCCTCCTGCATGACCCCACTGGAGATCAAGCCCTCAATCTGGGCATGTGCGCTGACCAGGAATTAAACCATGGCCTCCTGGTTCATAGTTCAGTGTTCAACCACTGAGCAGCACCAGCCAGGAAAATTAAGTATAATTTTTTTAATAAAATGAGACAAATTATTTTTTTTCTGGCTTGTACTACTATGGCCCTATTTTTAAAAAGACATGTTGTCAATAGATATAACTATCCAAAGGGGAAAACATAATCTTATTGCAGGCTATTCAGCATTTTATATGACTCAGGGTCTTATTATAAACTTGCTCCTGAAAGTAAGCATTCTTTCATTAAACTAGATGAAATTTTCTCCTGAATGTCTATTATAATGAAAATATATGCATTAGTCAGGATAGGCTAACTTACGTTGCAGTAGCAGTCAACCCTAAAATCTAGTGGCTTATACAAGGGTCTGTTTCTCACTTTCATGTGGGCAGGTAGCTCTGTTCTGCTCCAGTATCTCTCCATCGTTGCCTGTCAGGAGAAGAAAACACCGAGAGAACATGCACCCATTTTGCTTTGCTTTGCCCAAAGTGACACCATTAGTTCCACCCATAGCCCCTTGACCAGAACTAGTCACATGGACTGTACAAGACGGGAATCTGAAGAGCACAAGGATATTCAGTGAATGATAAACATCTCTGCCACAAACCCCAAACCTCTAAAGCAGTAAAATGCTCTAAAATCACATCCCAGTATCTTTATCCCCCTCCCCTCCCGCCAGGACAGCGCTGTGTGGAGGAAGGAGCATAGACTATAGGGTAAGACTGCCCTGGGTTTGAATCTCAGCTGCCCCTCATAGTAGTTGTGTGAGTTTGAGCAAGTTCTTTTGTTTCACTACTCCTCAATTTCGTCATCTATAAAATGGGGTTTCAACACCTACCTTTTAAGGTTGTTGTAACAATAAGAAATTATCTATGCAATCCCTTTGGTGATAATTATCAGCAGAAAGACAGGGAAATATTTAGGGCAGTAATTCTCAGCTCTAATCCTTCCAGCACTTCAGATATTACAAATTGGCTCAAGGAGTGTTGTAACATTTCAAAAACGCTCTTCAACTAGGATTGTTTTAAATTCCTCTTTACTTACTAAAAGAAATCTCTGCAGGTCACTAGAAGTAGGATTAGTGCTTCACTAATGGGCAAATTATAAGAGAGGAGAAACTTGTCTTTAATATTCAGCTTTTGCCCCTTCTGTGATATCTTCTCACCTACCCAGTCCCCAAGCTTTGGATTAGCCTGGTGTGAACCCCAATTTAGTCACTATCCACAAATTAGTTAGGCATTCTGAGAACAAGTGTTCTCCTCGCCAAAGTTGGGACAGTCAAGACTACCTCCTCGGGTTGTTTACAGGATCAAATTGCAGTTCAAGTCCTCAGCCCAGTATAACTGACTATCTTCTGACTGCGTTCCTCGCGATCATGCCCGAGTCTTGGGGAAGAGGAGACTCTAGGTGAGAACTACTAGAGCTGTGTCACAAAAATATCCAAGAGATGGTAAAAGACCAAATCCACACCGGCTGTAACTTACCTAACAGAGAATGGTACATACTGGGGTGAGAAGATTTATCTACTCCCAGGTATACAGATTTAAAATGTTTTTAATTAGGAAAATTACATATAAAAATTTGGATTTTTCACTTCTTTAAAGAATCAGCTCTGTCCCCATGATAACGGTGAGCCCCCTTTGACCCAGATGTGCTTCCTACTTGCCATGGCACTCACTGCTCTCTGTTGTCTGAATGTAGCCTGCTTTCCACACGGATCTGCTTGGCCCCTGGCCAATGGGTTCAGGAAAATAATCATGATGCTGGTGATGACAAAGGTAAAGTTGGTGAGGAAAGAAGTTTGTAAGCTGTTTTCAATGATCCAAAAAGCCTAATGTCAATGGTTATATTATGAATTTCTAAAAGCCAGCACAAATTAACTAAGGAACCAGATTTCTTTGCTTTTAGGTGGATTTACATTAACTGGATAATTGGGATGTCATGGAAGAAATTCAGATAAGCAAGTAGATATCATTGATAAATATTTTACTGGTAAAAATTGGGAAAACAGATCTGGCCAGTTTTTCTCAGTGGTTAGAGCATCTGGCTATGGATCAGGGTTTTGGATTTGATTCCCAATCATGGACGATTCAATCCCTAGCCCTATCAGATGATCAGAGTGTGTGTAGGAGGCAACCAGTCAATGTCTGTCTCTCTCTCTCTCTCCTTCCTTCCTCCCTCTTTTCCATTTTCTCTCTCTCTCTCTCTGAAGATCAATGGAAAAACATATCTTTGGGTGAGGATTAAAAAAAGAAATGTTGGAAAATAGACTACTATTATTTAATAAATAAAGTTTGCTTCATAGACCAGTTCTTTAAAAAAAAAAAAAATGGGGCTCAAGAGGAGAAAAATAATATGAAATGTGTCCTTATTGATAGAAAGGTTGGAAAGGAAGCAACTAGCTTTGTCTGTCCTTTCTCCACTGATACGGTATTTATAATCCTAAGGGTCAAAACCAGAAGAATGAATGTTAGAATTTCAAATATCTCATGGTAGATAGAGAAGACATTTGGTGACAGATTGTGGCAGCTTCTTTTGAATTTCATGTCCAAGGCAGGCTCTATTCTAACTTCTAATTTTAAATAGTAGATTTCATTTTTAATACAGGCTTAGTCTTTTCAAAACTGTAAGGCAAAATGCAATGCAATGACCATTTATGATATTGCTGTGCTCTGCTAAAACTAGTTACTATTCCTTCCTGTGCAAATGTACAAGGTCACTGTGTTTTATAAGGGTGAGGAATCTTTTTACTGATGACCTGTAATTCTCAAGGATTGTTACACGTCCCAGAACAAAGCTGATTCATAATCTACTAGGTGGGGCAAAAGTATTAAGTCTTCAGTATCTCTCGCCAACTCCTCCCAGCATTTAACTAAACTATGTGGAAATCTTTTGAGAATTTTCAAGATAACGTGAACATTAATCCTCATCCTCTCCCCTAATCCAATCTTTTCCTCTTCCAAAGGCCCAAGAAAGGAAAAGGGACGTGCTCCTGGTAGCACAGTTAAGACTAGAACTCAGGTCTCCTGATTCCAAGTCCAATTAGAGGCATAAGGATTCTGTTTCCTCTTCCACTTTAAATGATCCCAACTCACCATGGCCTGGGATCTGTTTTATTTTTATTTTATTTATTTTTTTTTTTTATCATTCCTCAGCTTCTACTTAATTATCTAAACATTCAGATTTTCACAGTCCTCCTACCTTGTCCTTACAGCATTTTAACAGGGCTTTCCAAATTCCAGTTTGAGAAATCCTGAACGAGAGACAGGATCTGAAGGCTTCCCCACTCTCCATTCCATGCTGAGGTGTCGAAGGCCGCAAAGAAAAGCTTACCAGGACATATGTCTGTTCCTCTTAGAAACAGGTCCGTTGAGACTCCTTATATTCTGCTCATTTCTTCTTTTTGCTTCTATGTCAATAGGGGCTTTTAACATCTGTCGGACAGCAGCTTTTCATCCTCAACCCTTCCTCTCTCTCTATGACACATTTAGCTACCGCAATATTAGACACCCCCCCCCCCAAAAAAAAGTGTTTTTTTTCTCTAAGATACGGGGTGGAGGATGAGGAGCAAAGCAGAGACATCCAACGCGGTTCTGGCCAGGACTGCCTCTCCCCCTACCCACCCCAGCTGTGTGGCAAAGCAAAGCAAAGACTCTTATGGGGAGGGGGAAATGAAGACAGGATGGAAGCAGAGAAAGTCAACGACAAATTATAAAAGAACTACAGTGTAAAACTGAGGTATCTGAGAAGAGCATAGGCTGACTCATAAATGATATAGCTAGAACTATGCAGAGAACGTTACAAAAAGAAGCAACAGGTACTTGTAAACATACATGCTGGCCAGCCCCGGTCCATTGTCATCACTTTCTATAGTTCAGAAGGTTTGGGACTGTGTCATTCATGAAGAGAGAGAAAAATGTGCTGAGTTTCTCATAATACTAAATTTCTCCCGTTTAAAAGCATATTTTATATTCTGATATTATATCCTTCCCTTTTTAGTCCCCAAACATTTCTGTATATAACAACAGTGAAATTAGATGGTAATTGGCATTTTTTACAGGTTTCCTTGGCAACTTAAAACAATGGATCACTCTAAGCTGCCCCACAATTACTTTGGGTGGTGTGGTACTGATTTGTAAAAGCCAAACATCTGCTAATCTCTCTAGGAAAATATACTCAAAATGGTAAATAGTCACCTTCCTTTCTGGAACGAATTTCAATTAACACGCCCTTCAAGGAGAAGACTTCACAAAAATTGTACTTTTCCTTCTAAACAGCTTTCTCCATAAAAAACGTTCCGCAAGTATATCAAATTAGTCATAACAACTCCTGTAGAGTGCTTAATGAGACGCGTCTTCATAACCTCTGACAATCTGACAGGAGTGCATTTAATAATAGCAATAAATACAGATGGGACTACATAAATCAAGGTGATCCAAATGCACGATTCTTGCAGTGTGAGATGGCATCTCAGCTTTTTCATCTGTAATGAACCAAGAAATCAATTCTAACGAGGACCATAACAATAAAATAAAAAAAAATCTAAACTAAATTCAGACTCTTGGAAAGAATGCCTTTGTTCTCTTTGCCCACGGCCCACTTTACGGATGTGGAACCAGCAGATCAAAGGAGGCTCCAAAGAGAAGGCTGGGGTTAGGGTGAGGAATGTGGCTCCTGACTTGGCTGTGAGAATACAGCTTCCCCTAGGGTAGGCCCTCTCACTCATTTGCATTGCAGGGCCATAAAAATGCAGTTGCACAAGCATTAGCCCAGAGTTGTCTAAAGAGCGAGTAGGCTTACGATGAAAGATACTCACAGTTCTAGGGAGCCTCCCAAAGGGCCTCACCCATCTTCCTCCAAAGAGGAGGCAGATTCTCCTCCACCCTCTGTTCTCCCCTGAACCCCTTTACCGTCCAGCACCGCCCCTCTCAGGAGGAGTTTGCCCGGGATGGGCTCTATAACGTACACCACAGCTACCCACCGCCCATGGCAGATCCAGCCCAGAGTACTTACAGAGCTGTTTCTCTTTGAGGATCTTCACCCTTTATGCAGCACTAAAGGCAAACACGACAGGGGCAATGAGTTTTCTGGCTTTTTAAAGGCCCATTAATCAATATTTTTGAATGCATCAAGGTGGCTCAAGGCACAGGATACCCAAATGTGTCTGATAATCTCTTATCTAAATAATACATACCGATATGGACATGCCTAGAATATACAGCCACCCCTGCACTGGCCCAGGTCTTATTTCTCTGGCTATATTAATTATTTTTATGAAATCTAAAATAGATGTAATTCTTAATTCAAAATGCTTCCAGGATTCGTAAGTAATTGAGTGGTTTGTTGTTGTTTTTTTGTAGGAAAAAAATTTGTTCTGGATTGGGTAATGGGGTCAGTGAATTTCTTCTTGGGAGGCATTGTTGCCCCAAATAAAACCCAGTTACCATATGTTTCAAGAAGAATGGCTTTTGCTGGATCATGAACTCCGCCTAGGCCACACTCACCTTTCTTCAGACATTTTCTGCCAATATGCCTCCCTTTGACACTGGGTTAACGGGTGGAGTCAAATGCCTGGCACTAACCTATGCACCCACATACTCTGCGTCATGCTAACCAACAAGGTTAACCATTCATCAATTCAAACTCCAGTCCACCACAGCCGGGGCACGTGGCCTTAAGCAAAAGGTGAGCAGCAAGTGTCGCCCTTTTCATGCAGATCCCTGACTCTAGAGCAGATGCTCCTTCTACATTTATTTATTTATTTGTTGTACCAGAGTGCCATCGCCACCATAAAGGGAAATGTAAAAGGGAGAAAAATCAGCCCCAAATTCCCTACCCTGAACACTATAGACAGTTCTATACTTTGTAAATCTGTACTCATCTATATTATAAAAAGCCAGTGATTATAACTACCAACCAGTCACCAGGAGGTGCATGGATGGGTCTCACGGCGCGACGGGTCTGGGTCTCCCGTGATTTCGCACACTGGGCCTCTAGTAATATATGAGAGGTGTTTAGTCCCTTAAGCAACTTCCATTTTAGATTACAAGGTAGAGAGACCAGATTGTCCAAATATGGTTCCTAACTCTAGTCACTTACACAGCTGGTTCTTGGCTTTTATTTAGATGACATTTTACCTAAATAGCTTAGAACACTTAGATACCTGCATTATTCTTTTTCTTCTGGCAATCAGTCCAAAGCACAATGTCAGAAAGACCACAACAATTGCAGCAATAATGGGTTCTATTGGTACAGTCGAACCTCTCTCTGTTGGAAATGCAAACACAGAAAACGAGAACTAACATTTACATGCTTCTAATTTATATACTTCTAATATGTCCCAGCCGTGATGCCTTGCACTTTAACATATATCATCCTCTTACTTAAATCCTCCCAACAATCCCAAAAAGTAGGTATTCTGTCCCCATTTTACCAGCGAGGAACCAGGGGCTTCGAGAGGTTCGTTTGCATGTCCAAAATCACAGACCCAGTGATGGTATTTTCCTTCCATGTGCATAGGGTTAAACAATCCCAACACGTGGGCTAAAATCTTTTTTTTTTTTAAATATATTTTATTGATTTCTTACAGAGAGGAAGAGAGAGGACCAGAGAGTTAGACACATCGATGAGAGAGAATCATCGGTCAGCTGCCTCTTGCACATCCCCTACTGGGGATGTGCCCGCAACCAAGGTATATATGCCCTTGACCGGAATCGAACCTGGGACCCTTCAGTCCGCAGGCCAACGCTCTATCCACTGAGCCAAACCGGTTTCAGTGTGGGCTAAAATCGTGTGCTCAGGAAAAAAGATCCGTGATGTCATTTGCAGCTTTGCGTGGCCTCATTGAAACTACCCCACTGAGCCCTGCAGCGGCGGAGAGAGGCTCATGGCAAACTTGGCATTTAGCCTGGCCACCGGCAGCAGAGTGCTCACGCTGCCAAGGCAGCCAACCACCAGGGAAGCCAGGAAAAAATAAGAAAAACAAGTTGGTTTGGAAGAGCTCCACCCCAAACAAGATCCTGCCCACCTGAAAGCCAGGCTGTCAGGCTGGCATCCTGCTTGACACACAAGCTGTTTATCTTTTTTTCTTTAAAGAGGGAGGGAAGAATTTTATTTATTTATTTTTCATATATATTTATTGATTTCAGAGAGGAAGAGGGAGAGAGGGAGGGAGGGAGAGAAACATCAATGATGAGAATAATTGATTGGCTGCCTCCAGCAAGACCCCTACAGGCATGTGCCCTAGGCCGGAATCGAAGCTGGGACCCTTCAGTTCACAGGCCAATGCTCTATCCACTGACCCAAACCAGCTAGGGCAAGCTGTATATCTTTTTTTTTTTTTTTTTTTAATATGTTTTATTGATTTTTGTACAGAGAGGAAGGGAGAGAGATAAAGAGTTAGAAACATCGATGAGAGTCATCGATCAGCTGCCTCTTGCACACCCCCTACTGGGGATATGCCCGCAACCAAGGTACATGCCCTTGACCGGAATCGAACCCGGGTCCCTTCAGTCCCCAAGCCGACGCTCTATCCACTGAGCCAAACCGGTTTCGGCACAAGCTGTATATCTTTTATGTGACATGGAACAATTATGATTCCTTCTTAACCGAGAGGGATGATATAACCCCCAGTGTCTGCGTGTGGGCCTTACAGCCAGTCGGAATGGTATGGCCTGAGGCTCCCACCAACCATGCTTTTGTGAATAGCAGAGAAGTGGGGGGAGTGAAGAAGGGGTGGCGGGGGTAGGGGGTGGGAAGTGAATAGTCACAGATTTCCATCTGGTGCCCCTTCCACTCGTTCTTAGCTTATTTGTGGGGTTGGTTTTTAAAGCAAGTAGCCCCTGGGCGTACTGTCACTGTTCTCAGGACAAATGACTGACCCTTCCAGCAGCCGCAGCTCTTCCTCCCCACCAGCCTTCCCTTGGTGCCCTAGACCCCCTGATGGGGAGGAAATAAGGAGCCCTGTGCTCCTGTCAGTCCAACACTTCTGGCAGGGGTCCAGGTGGCTTCCTGGGAACTGGCAAGGAAGGCAATGAGTGGGCAAATGACAAAGTGAATGATGTTCTAACAAGATACACACGCCTCAGCTTGTTTGGCTGCTCCTCGCTGCCTGGCCCCAGCCCAGGAAATGCTCGCAGGAGCATTCTGGCATCTGCTACACCAGGAATCTCGCTTTTCTCTTTTTGTGAGAACAAGGAATCCAAGGAGGGTAAATCAGTTGGAGCTTCATTTATCCCTATTTCGCAGAGGTGGTCCACCTGGGCAGATGAAGCATGAAGCCAAGAAAGAACTCTCCCCCTCCTCTTATTTTCTCCTACTTCCTCTTCTGATGAGCCTACATGTTACAATGTAGAGTCAGGAGTGATCTTAGAGAACCATTTTCTTATCGAGTCGGCATCTTTCTTCACTATGTGTTTCTGACTGCTGTTTGTCTCTAGACTGTGAACTCAAAAGTCCAGATTTTACAGGCCTTGTTGCCCAGAATTCACGGAAATACTCCTCCCTAAAAGCCTATCCAAATCGGCTTTGTGTGTTCTAGAAAAAGACCTTTGCCCAAAAAGCAGTGTTCTTTAAGGAATTGGCAGAATTTCCCTAAAAGGAAGGATGAGAGTTCTTAGTGGGAAACTCCTTGAATGGGATAGTTCACCAAAGAAAACTCTAGCTGCTAATCATAATTGTCATCATCATTTGTTGTCATGGAAAATATATTTCAAAATATATATTTTATTGATTTCAGAGAGGAAGGGAGAAGGAAAGGGAGATAGAAACATCAATGATGAGAGAGAATCATTGTTCAGCTACAATAATTGTCATTGCCTCACACTGGGGATTGAATCTGCAACGCGGGCATGTGCCCTTGACCAGGAATCAAACTGTGACCTCCTGGTTCATAGGTTGATGCTCAACCACTGAGCCATGCCAGTTGGGCATGAAAAATATTTACTGAGATCTATTCTGAGTTTTGCACTATGCTGAATCTTATTTAAAAAGAGAGTTAGTTACCTTTGACAACGAGGTGAAAGTCCTTTGTCTTTATTCCCCAAGGTGAATATGCAATACAGCTGTAGGTTCCATTGTCAGATTTCTTGACTTTGGTGAATGACAACTGAAGAGACTCACTTGTCTGTTGGACTTGGTGGTGGTTTTTCTCTAAGATCAGGTTGCTGCTGTCTTTGTACCACATCATCAGAGCCTGGGGGTTGGATTTCACATTGCAAACCAGCTTCGCAGCACTGCCTTCCTCAACTGTTTGGTAGTCATCTCCACTTAGGAGAGGAGGAACTGCAAGACTCAAGCATTGAGGTCTAATTAGCAGATAAGCCATAGTTTACTGTCCATGTTCAAGGTCTTCCTTCAGTCTGTCTCGTCTAGTCATTCATCCATTTGACAAAAATGTACTGAGTGACTACTGTATGCTAGGAACCAGGGGTACAATGGTAAATAGCATACATCCATTTCCAAACTTAATAGGCATGTTAGTGTGAAAGAAGACAAACCAGGAAGCAAATATCCTATATAATCGAAGGCTATAATGCAAATTGTCCCCTCGACCAGGAGTTCGACTGGGAATTAGGCAAGGAGGCAGGGCTGGCTGGCTGGCCAACTGCCTACAGCCCCTCCTCCTGGCTGACTCTACCCTCCCCCACATTGGTACCCCTCATCCCATCGGGGTGGACTGGCCAGACTCGATCTGAGCACAAATTCATGGGGCCTCTAGTATATAATAATGAATCTGTACCAATTTGTAACACTACCCAAGACTATAAGCCTCGAGTCTTTCCTCTCTGAGAATTAATAAACCAATCTGTGCTAGTGATGGATAAAACAGTGCCATGTTAAGAAAGCAGGCATTGCAGTTCGCTCTCATTCCAACTATATCATTTCCTGTGACCTTGAGAAAGTTACTTCGCTGCTAAGTAACTGCTCAGTTTCCTTATCTAAAAAATGGGATAATAGCTACCTTATGAATTGCTGTGGAAGGTTAAGTGAGATAATGCCGGTAAAGAATTTATCACCGTGCTCGTTAGTACTATCATTATTAGATGGTAGTTTTGAGCACGCCTCACAACCTCCACTTTCTCATCTGCTCTAACCACGTTTGACTCGGCCGCTCATTGACCCATGCGGATTTGCATTTCCTCTAGAAATGATGTCCTCTGCCCAGAAGATGTTCTAGTCCTGGCAATTCTGGCGTCTATGGAAGATGAGTGTGACTTTCTGACTCCCTTTCATTCCTCTGTGCGAGCAGCTCCTTACCCCCTCCCCGACGAGGCCAGCTATAGACCCATAGATAGCCGAACACATTTATCGTCACCAAATAATCCAACCCTCCTCCCCACCAGGCCTTTCCAACATTGAGGAGGAGAAATGGCTGGGCTGAGGCCCCCTCTTCACACCCTTTGCAGTTTCTGGCCCCGGTGCAGAAGAGTCATAAAATGCTGGAGAAGTGGGCTGTAGGAGAAGGAGGGAGGGAGGAGCTTGTGGAATCTGCACGCTGAATAATTAGACCCTGAGTAGGCTGTGCTATTAATAACTCCCAGAAGAATGACATTTTGTTTGCTCGTTGGAATGAGCTTGAATTCTGCATCCATATCCAACAAGGATGTTATATGGTATTTTCAGATATGTAGGAAGCTGCTTGAATACAGAACGTAGTTGCCAAACATACCAGTTCCACCAGTTCCACAGGTCCTATTAGTTGTTGCTTTTTATTTAACTATTTAAAATTAATATAAGCTTATCAGCCATACGTTTTTCTTTTTAAAAAAAAAAAATTAATACATGTCTGGCTCTGACTACGTAGCTCAGTTGGTTAAAGTGTGGTCTTGTTATGCCAAAGTTGAAGGTTCGATCTCCCCAGTCAGGCACATACAAGAATCAACAAATGAATGCTGGTTAAATAGGTGGAACAACAAATAGATCTCTCTCTCTCTCTCTCTCTCTCATCCTTTCTCTTTCTCTCTCAAATCAATACATTTAAAAAAAATACATTTCATGCCTGGTCAGTGTGGCTCAGTTGGTTGAGCATCGTCCAAGCACCAGGAGGCCACTGGTTCAATGCCCAGTCAGGGCACATGCCTGGGGTTGAGGACTTGATTCTCAGTGGAGGGCGTACAGGAGGCAGCCACTCAATGTTTCTTTCTCTCCCTTCCTTTCTCTAAAAATCAATAAAACAAATTTAAAGTAATAATAATAATAATAATAATAATAATAATACATTTCAGGTAAAGGTCAGGTCCTCCTTGACTTTATCCTCATAATTTCCTGACTCCTTAGAGATACCCACTATTATACATTTGATTAAAATCCTTGCATCTTTTTTTAAAAGTAGCATGGGTTGTGTGTGTTTTTGGTGTGTTTTGTTTTTTAAATATAATGTACCCATAGGAAATATATTGTATTGTTTTAGGAGGGTGAGAAGGGTTTACATCAAAGATTGAATTCTTTCGATAACTTGAATTTTTTTTTAGCTATGTCTACATTGAACCACAGAGATCTAGCTCATTGCTTTTATTTTTATTTATTATTATTTTTTAATCTTCACCTGAGTATATTTTTCCATTGGTTTTTAGAGAGAGAGTGGAAAAGAGAGGGGAAGACAGAGAGAAATATCGATGTGAGAGAAACACATCGCTTGGAATCCAGTGAGCCCTGATCAGGGCCCGGGCCAGGGAGGAGCCTGCAACTGATGTATGTGCCCTTAACCCGAATCAAACCCGGGACCCTTTGGTCTGTAGGCTAATGCTCTATCCACTGAGCCAAACTGGCTGGAGCTAGCTCATTGGTTTTAGAGTGCCATAGTCAAATATATTACTCTAAACCATCTTATTTTGATGGGAATTAGGTTCTATTCATTTAAAAAGTGTTAAACAGTGCATCAATAAACATGCTTGTATATGACTGTATGCACATGTGTTTCTCCAAGGTTAACGTCTTGAAATAGAGATGCTGGGTCTCATAGGGTAAGCACACTTTAAATTTTTGAAAGGATGTTGCAAAAGAGGTGGTATCAATTTATGCTTTCAGCAGCAATGTATGCAAGAACCTATTTCTGCGCACATTCCCCCAAATAGTATATTATCAACTGCTATTTATAATAATATTTTCTCAGGACTTTACATGCTATTCTCATCATAATTTATGACCTCGTTTTGATTTATTGATTAATGAGTATCAGTTTGTCACTATGAACCACTGACCAATTGGTTTTTTCACATGCACTTAGTGACAACACTATTTTGGAGGTGGTTATATAGATGGTTTTGGATCCAAGTTAGAAAATGAGAATCTTTTTTTTTTTAAAGCCACCAAATGATAGCATTTCTGCCAATCCTCCCTTAAGAAGGTACAATGGGAAGAACACTAGATGAAGAGCACTAGATTTGTGTTCAGTTCCCAGCTCCAGCTGTGATAATTCTGGCCTCAGTCTGAGCCTCAGTTTCCTCATCTGTTGTGTCATAGGCATTACAAGACCTCCAAGGGCCCCTGATGGTCTTGGATTCCATCAAAGTATGCAAAGGGAAGCTTGCTAAAACATCACATTTTATTAATTCATAGCAAATAAAAATCAAGACTCCTTTTCCCAGGAACAAGCAAATGTTTCACTCTGGAAACTCAAGCTGCAGATCCCCAGTATTTCCCAGAACTGGGTTCTTTGGCATTTTCTCCACCCTTTTGTCTCAGGATCAGCGGCATCTGTTTGTCACAGACAAGCCTGCTGAACTTGAGTCCAGAGCGCTCTCTACCAAATCCTACCACATCATCACCCTAACCCACATCACTCCTCACCCACCATCCACACCGCCCTCATGCAGAACCGGCTTTCCAACCAAACCATGTTCATCTACATAGAATCATTGGAAGGACCCCTACTGCCATATAGTTCCACCAATGGGTGACCAGTTCCTGCAACCCAGCCATCAAAGAGCTCCCTCTTTTGAGGTTTTAAACATGATCAACCAATAGATTCATGAAAAAGTGAACACCCTCATTCATTTTTTTTTTTTTTAATCCTCACCCGAGGATATTTTTTCATTGATTTTTAGGGGAACTGCAAGAGAGAGGGAAAGACAGAGAGAAATATTGATGTGAGAGAAACCCATCGATTGGTTGCTTTCTGCATGCACCCTGACCAGGACCGGGCCAGGGAGGAGCCTGCAACCGAGGTACGTGCCCTTAACCAGAATCAAACCTGGGACCCTTCAGTCTGCAGGCCTACGCTCCATCCAATGAGCCAAACCGGATAAGGCCACCCTCATTCTTAGTTTAAAAAAATTGAAATAAAATTTCATATCATTCAATGGTAAATATCACGCTCAGTGCTCATGAGGTGTGGAGAAATAAGCATTTTTGTGCTTTGTTGTGGGAGCGTAGGTAGGGCAATTTGGTAAAATCAAGCAAATGTTAAAATGCACATACACTTTAGACCCAGATTCCAGCTACCACTCAGTGCAATGCAGACAACACAGGCTGGCAAGCAGCCGTCTCCCCTTTTACTCACAAGGAACGTCCAGCACCACGGAGATGGACACCGACTGGTCCCTCTGCAGCCTGCAGGTGAAGGTGACTCCATTGTCGTCTTCAGTGATGGAAGTCACACAGATGGCGCTGGAATTGATGCTGTTTTCAGACTTCAAATCCACTGCCCCCTCTTCTCGGAACCAGAGAAGTCCTTCATCCCCCGTGTGGTTCTGAACAGCACACATCAGAGATGCTTCGGAGCCCACCTGAGTGTTCAGAGTATGGCTCTCGGTTCTACCATTCACCGTCAAAACAGAGCCTGGGAGTGCAGAAAGAAACTGTCAAGAACAACCTAAACGACCATACATGTTACATCAGAACAATGAAATCAAAGTAGCCATATCGATCTGTGTGATTTTACAAGGAAAAGGGTTGTCATGCATTATTGACTACAAAAAGGAAAAGCTGAAAATGGTTACCAAGTTTTGCTGCACCTTGGAATCCCCTGGGGATTTTTTTAAAAAATTACTGATGGCTTGTTCCCACCCTAGACATTCTTATTAATTGATAGAAGTGCAACCTGGGCATAGATTTTTTTTTTTAAGCCCCAGATGATTCTAATGTTTAGTGAAGTTTGAGAACCATTGAGTTAGAAAACAGTATGTGCAGAATTACTCCATTTGCGTGCACACACACACACACACACACACACACACACACACTTAGGAAAAGTATTGGGAAAAATTTTATATGAAAGCAGTGTTTATTGAAATACATTTCATTTTTAAAATTGACCTATCAGCTGTTAAAGTATGTATATATTTTTGGGACACCCTATATTTACTAATTTATTTTACAGCAACTATATATTACTTTTAAAACAGAGGGGGAAAGCTGTTTCCAGTGAGGGATGGGGAGCAAATGCAGGAAAGATTTCAGTGTTAGTGTATGTTCAAACAAACAGCAGATTATTTTGGATATGATTAGTAATACAATGCATTAAAATGTAGAGAAATTCTGGCTGTGGCTGTGGAGAAAATAGAATACTTCTTCTATGCTAGGAGAACCATAAAAATATTTCCATTTCATTTTTTATGATGTTACCTGACTCCTATACTCTGAACCAGAGCAACTATGTCTTCATTCCACTTTGGGTTTTGGATTTTTCCAGTGCCCACCCATCATTTTTAACCTGAACTTTTTCTTTATTTAAAGAGGCGAAAGAGCCCTAACCTTGCTGTGAGTTTTTATCAAGAAAGGATGTTGGGCCGAAGTCGGTTTGGCTCAGTGGACAGAGCGTCAGCCAGCAAACTGAAGGGTCCCAGGTTCGATTCCAATCAAGGGCATGTACCTTGGTTGCGGGCACATCCCCAGTGGGAGGTGTGCAGAAGGCAGCTGATCGATGATTCTCTCTCATCGTTGTTTTTAACTATCTCTCTCCCTTCCTCTCTGTAAAATTATCAATAAAATATATTAAAAAAATAAATAGGCGAAAGCAATGTGAACTTACTTGTCATTTCACGTGGCAGAAATGAGATCACTAAGAGAACTCCGCACATTCGCATTAGGCCGCTGCTCTTCTGTGCCATCTTCAGCGAATTTAAGTCGGATCTGGGGGGTGGGGGCGGGAAGAAAATGCAACTGTTTCTGTACTTTGAGCTACACTGCGTTTATGAACCTTCGTCTTGTCCATTTTGCACATACAGTGAAGTCCCAAGTGAGTCATCCCAGTTATAATGATGTTATTTTTAGTTTTCAAAAAACCCCGTTCTGACTCCTAAGTTCAAAGTGCTTTTAGTATTAAAACATTTTTTTTTTAAAGACAGCAACAACAAAATCACAAGGAAATTGGCTATCCGACATAGGGCAGCCTAGGACAGCCCTGGGGAAGGTTCTAGTAAAACCAGCCTTCCTAGAGAAATGGAGGTCATTTTCACAGAAAGGGCAATGAAGCGTGTTTCCTTCTCAGACGGTCTCTAATGAACAAAGTAAGTCTTGCTCGGAAAGCCTTTCTGGGGTCATTTGTGTAAAGTTGCTTCCTGCTAATAGAAAGTCTTTGAGACTATTCCAAATTCCAGTGATTCAGATGGTTTATACTTTAAGGAATGATTCAATCGCAACATGGCCTCTTTTTTTTTTTTTTTTTTTTTTTTTTTGTATTGATTTCAGAGAGGAAAGGAGAGGGAGAGAGAGATAGAAATAGCAATGGGGAAAAAGAATCATTGATCGGCTGCCTCTTGCTTGCCCCACACAGGGATCAAGCCCACAACCCGGGTATGTGCCCTAACTGGGACCTCCTGGTTCATAGGTCAATGCTTAACCACTGAGCCACGCCAACCGGGCTTAAAGTATGCTAATCTCTACTTTCCCCATCCTTCTACTGCTCTCCCCTCATGATACTCCTTAAGACTCCTTCACCTAGTGTGGACCAAAACAATAAATAATAAAGGCTTCTTTTTCTCCTGTGCTTTGCTATTGCCATTCCCCTCCCTAAAATATTCTCCACTTCCATCTAGGAAGAAACACGTGTATTTATTACTTCCTTTCAAGAGTACCGCTATGAATATAGTAGAACCACATCTGGAGTGTTTTCTGTGCAACAGACACTGTGCCAAACACTTTACATACATTATTTAAATATCAGCTAAGCTTCTAACAGCCCTTCTGAAGACATTTCTAAAGGTTTGGAGAGATTATATAATTTGCCCAAGATTCCAAAGATGGTAACTATCAGGGCCAGGATTTAAACCCAGACTCCCAAAGCTGTGCTCTTAACCACTCTAATGCCTAGATTAATATTCTCTTCTTTTAAGAAGCTGCTGTAGCCGAAATCGGTTTGGCTCGGTGGATAGAGCACTGGCCTTCGAACAGAAGGGTCCTGGGTTCGATTCCGGTCAAGGGCATGTTCCTTGGTTTCAGGCACATCCCCGGTGGGGGGTGTGCAGGAGGCAGCTGATTGATGTTTCTCTCTCATCAATGTTTCTAGCTCTCTATCCCTCTCCCTTTCTCTCTCTGTAAAAAAAAAAAAAAAAAAAAAAAAAAAAAAAAAAAAAATCAATAAAATATATTTTGAAAAAAGAAGAAGCTGCTGTAGCCCTGGCTAGGTAGTTCAGTTGGTTAAAACGTCTTCCTTATACACCAAGGTTTCGGGTTCAATCTCCTGCCAGGGCATATACTAGTACAAGAAGCAACCAATGAATGTATAAATAAGTGGAAAAACAAGTTTCTCTCCCAAAAAAAAAAAAAAAAAAGGGGGGGGGGGCGAGGGTGGTGATAGGAAAAGAAAATGCTGCTGCTGTTATTCCTTCCAGTCCCTGCCGACCCCACAGACCTTCGCAGCTTGGAGTTTTGACCCCATCCCAGGCCTGTCCTGACAGGAGCCAGTTTTGTTCCTGCGAGGCTCACCCTGTCTGACTGGCAAGCCTGTATCACTCTTTCAACAAGTTGCAATTAGTACTAATCTTGATCCTTTTGTAATTTTACAATTTTGCCAAAAAGATTTCTCTTTTAAAAAATATATTTTTTATTGATTTCAAAGAGGAAGGAAGAGGGAGAGATAGAAACATCCACAATGAGAGAGAATCATGGATTGGCTGTCTCCTGCAAGTCCCCCAGTGGGGATGGAACCCACCACCCAGGCATGTGCCCTTGACCGGAACCTAACCTGGGACCTTTCCGTTCCCAGGCCAATGCTCTATGCACTGAGCCAAACCGGCTAGGGCGCCAAAAAGATTTCTGTGACAGGTGATAACGGCATTGATTTCAGAATTTGCTCTTTAATGGTTTTTTCAAGCACAGCTCCCTGTAGGCTCTCAATAGGAACTGAAAGTAGACCTTCCTAAGGAGAAAGATTGATTTCTCCCTTTCCCTTCCACCCCACCAAGATAGCAACTTTTCAAAAACGAATTTCCCTCGCCTGACAGGTTTTACCACTTACCTGCTGAGCGTTGAAAAGCTGACTCCCTTGGCCAATTGCTCCTCTGTCTGAGAGCCCTGACTCCTTTCCCCGTTGCCATCTTTATAATACTTGAATTTGAACACTTTATGACAGAAGGGTCAAGTAAATAATTAAATTGGGTTCAAAGTCTGTTTCTCTTTATGGATTCTTAGAGAAGACAGTAATTAAGAAAGGCATCTTCCAGAGATCTAAGTGTTTGTGTATACCTAAGTCACTAGGTGGGGCCAGGTGTTCCTATCAGGGATGTCATTGCTCCAAGAAAGCCTGAGTTTAGGCAAAACGTCATATCTCAGCTCACTGAACATTGTCATGCTCAGGCTAGATGACTCATCATCTGACAGCCTGGGAATTTGATCAGTGCCCCAGGGCTGGCCCAGGACCACTCCCACCCTCTAGGGTCCCACCTGGGTGCTGCTCTCCCCACCCACCCACCCACCCCAGGCCCCTTGCTGCCCTTGGGGCAAGTCTGAGGAGAGGTTTGATTTTCACAGCAGCCAAAACATTGGAAGATTTCCCACAACTTACATCGTGCTGGAAAAGTATTTCTTCCCACTGGTAACCCAGGCCCTGTGTGGAAATTGCACCACGCCAGCCATAGCAGGGGCAAGGTCTCACCACATGGCCAGCAAACCGCGGCTCGCGAGCCACATGCGGCTCTTTGGCCCCTTGAGTGTGGCTCTTCCACAAAATACCATGGCGTGGGCGAGTCTATTTCGAAGAAGTGGCGTTAGAAGAAACTTGTTTAAAAATTTTGGCTCTCAAAAGAAATTTCAATTGTTGTCCTGTTGATATTTGGCTCTGTGGACTAATGAGTTTGCCAGCCACTGATCTAACCCATTGAGAGTTTCACCTGATAGGGCAAACTTTGCATTTGCACTTTCAAGAATTAGCAATTGAGGATACCTAATTTTTTTTTATTGGTTTAAAAATACATATGTTTATGGTATTAATACAATGTAAATTTTATCTGTAATGTACTATTGCGCCAATTATATGAGAATAGAATAAAAGGGTTATTTTGGCCGAAACCAGTTTGGCTCAGTGAATAGAGCGTCGGCCTGTGGACTGAGGGGTCCCAGGTTCGATTCCGGTCAAGGGCTTGTACCTTGGTTGTGGGCACATCCCCAGTGGGGGGTGTGCAAGAGGCAGCTGATCGATGATTCTCTCTCATTGATGTTTCTATCTCTCTCTTCCTCTCTGTAAAAAAAATCAATAAAATATATTTTAAAAAAAGGTTCTTATGTATATCTGCACATTTTAACATGTTGGCTAAGCACATCAGAGTTCTCCTTCTTACTAGCTGTGTGACTCCAAAAAGTTATCTAACCTCGATGAGCCTCAATTCTTCTTCAATAAAATGGGGGTAATAATAATGCCCTCCCTACACAGTCACTGGGAGAGTTAAATGAAATGAAGCGTGTGACGGGCCACACAGGAGACACTAAAGAAGCAGTAACTATTGATGTTATTAATACAGGCTGAGCTGGCCATAATAAATCAGCTCAGCACCATGGAATTGTTCCAGGAAGGATCACAACTTAGAGCAGTTCCTGTTGGCAGGGCTGCAAGTACCATCTAGGCAGGTTTGTGTCCGTTTCTCTGTGGTTCTAAGGGCAGGCTGTTTAATATTATCACTCCCCCCCCCCCCCCAGAGGATTTATTTTAACTTTATTTTTTTAGAGTCAAAATAAAAGTTTATTTTTTTTTTAATTTCTTTGTTGATTAAGGAGTTACATATGTGTCCTAATTCCCCCATTACCCCCCCTCCTAACCCCCCACTTATGCCCTCACCCCCCAGCTGTCTGTGTCCATCTGTTAGGCTTATATGCATGCATGCAAGTCCTTTGGTTGATCTCTCCTCCTTCCCCCCACCCTCTCCTGCTTTCCCTCTGAGGTTTGGTGGTCTGATCAATGTTTCTCTGTCTCTGGATTTTTGTTCACCAGTTTATATTGTTCATTATATTCTATAAATGAGTGAGATCACGTGATATTTATCTTTCTCTGACTGGCTTATTTCACTTAGCATAATGCTCTCCAGGTCCATCCATGCTGCTGCAAATGGTAAGAACTTCATCTTTTTTTTACCGCAGCGTAGTATTCTATTGTGTACATGTACCACAGTTTTTTAATCCACACATCTACTGATGGGCACTTAGGCTGTTTCCAAATCTTAGCTATGGTAAATTGTGCTGCTATGAACATAGGGGTGTATATACCCTTTTTGATCGGTGTTTCTAGCTTCTTGGGATATATTCCTAGAAGTGGGATCACTGGGTCAAATGGGAGTTCCATTTTTAGTTTTTTGTAATAGTATCACTTTAAAATGAATTCATGTCTTGACCAATTCATCAAGGGACTTTGGGTTCCTCCAACGTAGACATTAGACAAAGCTTTGGTTCCTTTAAAGCTGATTTAAATCATTTCCTGAAAGCTGAGCTCAGGGAGCACAGTAAGGAAGTGAGATAGGGAAGGAAGGAAAACTACTAAAGGGTATGTTAATAAATAGGTTACTGCTGTGGGCAACTGTGTGAGAAACATGCCTCAGAATCGGCTCATGAGGGCGTAGGAAGCTTGGGTATGTATCCACCAAGTTCTCTCCACCAATGATTGAGGGACACTCTTGGAGTGTTG